CTCTTCCGATCTCCCCAAAACCCCAAAACCCCATCAGAAGGAACAGAGTAAAATCTTGAATTGGAAAATAAGAAGAATAAAAATATAAATTCATAGTTAAATGTCAATTGACAACGATTAATTGTTTCAGAACTTAGACTCAATAATAACCATTGATTTTAAGTAGCTAAAATAGACACTTACTGAGCTTTACAAGGGCTAGAAAAAACATCAAGACACCATTTTAGAAATATTATCAGTAATTTACAACAGAGACAGAGAAGAGGAGATGTATAGAAGGCTTGGACTGCTCGAGGGCAAAACAAATGCTTAAAATGAAACGATCAACAATTTACAAAATAAAATTATTGAAATAGAGACCAAGGCTTTTTCATCTGAATAGGGTATTAATGGGATCTTAGATGAATTCAAGAAGCAAAATGTCTAAGATAGAGCTTAAATTGATAATTTTTGCACAGATTTGATTGTAAGTTAATCTTTACTGATTATATAACTATGAAATAGACACTAAAGGAATATATGGTCAAATTTGATAACTTTAATGACGAATATGAAATGAGACAAAGAATCATCAATGATAAGTCAGACAAGTTTTCTTTGGACATCGAGTAGGCTAATGTTGAAATCAAGCATTTGATAGAAGAAGCTGAATTCTTGAGATCATCTTATGATGTTTTAAAGAGGAAAAACTCAATCTAGCCAATGATCTAAGTACAAACAGAGGAAGATAAGATGAGTTCAGTCTAAAGATCGTTGAAGCATGATTTACTGCCAACCCTGAGTGATTAACCTACTCGTAATATGCCTTTAAGAAATGATTATTCAGCAGCAGATAGTACTCTCAACAACTAACTGTATGTTAAATTAATTCGAGCTTCATAAATTTAGTTTGGTAATGGATCAGAGAATCTTTGAACTTGAAAAGATAATTAATCCAGGGCAAGCACAAAATGGCAGAATCTCAGCAGCAAGTATAAATACTAATGAGGATGCTTATCATATGGAAAAGGAAAGTTTTAAGAAAAAGAAAGAGAGTGGTTTGTTCTTAAACATAGACCATACTGACAGAAAATCCTTTCCTTCAATTGATAGACAGACTAGAGTTAATGACGACATATTATAGGAACTTTACAACAGGTATACGTTGCTACTTGATGAATTAAACTCTTACAAATCTAAGATACTTTACTTCCTATAAACTGAAGATAATGATCAAAATCCAGTATTTTTGATTGAAAAACGCAGCTTGAATTATAAGGAAAGAATTTCCAAACTAGAAGAGTATTAGGAGAGACAGCGAGATGAGAACTAAACAAGCTAAGCTGAGGTCAAGAATATTTTGGGATTAATTAAGGGCATTTCAGATGATATTTTTCTTCTGAATCATACTAATAAGGTCTAAAAAGAAACTAACGAAGAGGTTACAGCTAAGCTTGATCACTTCGACTCACTTCTCATTGATAATGAAAGGATTATTAAGTTGGCGAACATCTATACAGATGATTGTGTTCAAAATTTTAAGAAAAATCTTGAAACTCAGTTCAGTGAAATCACTTACAAGATAAATAGATTAGATGGGTCAATAGATGAATAAATTGAGAAACTGAAGAGATCAAAAGTAAACAGAGAAGAGCTACCAGAGCTAGAAGCTTAGATTAGCAACAGGATAGAAATTGATTTTATACATGTAATATTCATATCATAATATATCATTTAGGAACTCGTGGAATTCAAAGATTACTCAACAAAGAAAATGGAGACTCTATTTTAGAAGAGCACAATGCTATTAGATAAATTTAATGTGGTTGATAATTTAACTGATGACATACTTAACTTAGAGACCTTTATTAACCAGTATTAAAGAATATTGAGTATTAATTAAATTTTAGGTTAAATCAAGATATTGACAGCATCTTTAATGACATTGAGCAACTGCAGCAAGCTTCTTAATAAGCTTAGTCATTTTCAAAGGAAGGTGCTCTAAAGCCCAAACCAGAAGTAGATCTCAACCATTCTTCCTTTTCTCCAGAGAGAGCATAATAAAGAAAACTAAGACAACTACAGTTGAAATCAATACCAGGTGCCTCTAATAAGGATGGATCAGTATCACTGAATCTTTCTTCTGGAGTCCAAGCAAAGCTCAAGCAACTTGAGGACAAGTTAGACGAAGTGTATGATAAAATGAAAGAAAAGGAATTCTTAAATGAATTTTTTACTTAGTAAGCAGTGAATGATCCAAACCCTATTCATGTTTCAGACTAGCATCTCTAATCTACAAATTCTGATGGCTAGCATAACTCCTAAGGAGTTCCAAAGCAACTAATTATGGAGGTAATGAGTATCAAGACAATCACTGGCAAATAGCAGATGCAACTAAACAAAATCTAGAATTAGATTAACATGCTCGAGTCAAATAAACCAAAGATAGACTAAGATAAGATTCTCAAAATGTAAAAGGAAAACTATGAGCTACTGAAGAAGTACATTGATGAAGTGAATCAGTATTCAAGTGATCTGTATCAAAAGCTGTAGGTTAAGCTAAACCTTAAAGCAGACTAGGATTTAGTTGAGAAATTTAAACAAAATGTAGAGGATAAAGTGCTTACTGATCTTCACTAAAAGATGGACAAGATTGATCATAAGCGAATGTAAAACGCTTTGAAAAAGAAGATTGATCAGTTAGAAGACAAATTGGTAAAGGGATAGAAAACCAATTTAAATAGCTCATTTGGAAATGATAATGACAAAGGTGCGAGACAACCTCTATTCACTAAGAATAACAATATATGTATATCTTGCAATTAGAGCATTGGTGATGGGCATAAGAAAGCACAGTCGATTGGCCAAGGAGGTGGATTCAAGCCAAGTACAGTTAAATAGAATAAGAATATTATGAAGGATTTGCAGTAAATGGCTCCTAAACTCGGTGCTGGATTCTCTAGAATACTTAGCAAGCTAGATAAGCCTGAAATTGTTGATATGCTAATGAATAGAGTAGGAAGTAGAGCAGATCAGTAGACAGGAAGCTTAACAGAAAGAAAGATACAGCCAGATGAGACCCAGAATAATTCAGTATTCCTAAACAGCACTTTGTTCAACAACAACAATTTAAACAATAATACGACAGTAATCTTTAGCCATCAGTAAAACTGGGCTACTATGAATCAATCAAAATCTAATTCCTAGATGCCATAGATGATGCTCTAAACTCAGCAGAATTTTAACAAGCAAAATCTGACAAATTTAGCACTCTAAAATTCAAAGACAACAGTTGGAGTTAGAGATTAATCAGTTTTAAATATGAGATAGGCTCACTTGAAGAAGAATAGGAAAGTGGGTTCATAAGGATTTACGACTGAAAGAGCCTCAATGGAGAGATAGCTTTTAATGGTGAATAGTAATCATTATCAACTTAAGCTGCCTCCAGTGCTGTAAAATGAACAAGCTAACCTTAATTGATTGAATGGCTAAATATCTGCTTTTATTCTAAATAAAATAGATTATAGACAGAATTAATTTCATTAAATTCATTTTATCATTTTAACTTAGTTTATTGGGGTTTTGGGGTTTTGGGGTTTTGGGG